CTGTAGTCCCAGCTACTTGGGAGGCTGAGGCAAGAGAATTGCTTAAGCCCAGGAGTTGGAGGTTGCTGTGAGCTATGATGCCACAGCACTCTACCCAGGGGCGACAGCTTGAGGCTCTGTCTCAAAGATAAATAAATAAAATAAAAAATAAATTTACACTTACTTAAAAGAAAACTTGTAATTGAAATAAAAACTAATTTTGCCACTTGCCACAAATAGAAGGTAACCATGAGCTGGGTGAGGTGGCTCAGCCGCCTGTAATCCTAGCACTCTGGTAGGCTAAGGCAGGTGGATTGCTTGAGCTCAGGAGTTCAAGGTCAGCCTGAGCAAGAGCAAGATCCTATCTCCACTAAAAATAGTAAAACTAGAGAGGTGTGATTGTCATTCACTCCGTCCTAGGGCCAGGGAGGTGGGAAGAGGAGATTAGGCTCTAGCAGGTGCTCCAGCCCTGCTGCTCTACTCACCACCCCAATACAGCCACCATTGCTCCTCCTTAACCTCTGCCTGGTGGTGTCCTCACCAACACCTTTGCTTCTTTCTTCTTTTGTTTTTTTCAGAGACAGGGGTCTCACTATATTGCCCAGGCTGAAGAGCAGTGGCTATTCACAGACATGATCATTGTGCACTGCAGCCTAGAATTCCAGGACTCATGGGATCCTCTCACCTCAGTTGGGACTAGAGGTGTGAGCCACCACACCCAGCCCATCTCTTCTTCTTCTTCTTCTTTTTTTGAGACAGAGTCTCAAGCTGTCACCCTGGGTAGAGTGTCGTGGTATCATAGCTCACAGCAACCTCAAACTCTTGGGCTCAAGTGATCCTCTTGCCTCAGTTTTTCTATTTTTAATAGAGATGGGGTCTTGTTTTTGCTTAGACTGGTCTTGAACTCGTGAGCTCAAACGATCCACCTGTCCAGGCTCCCAGAGTGCTAGGATTATAGGTGAGAGCCACCGCGCCTGGCCCCATCTCTTCTTTTTGACCTAGCTTGGAACACCTCCAATAGGCAGTCTTCTGAATTCCTGAAGGCAGCATTTGGGGACTGAGGGGGGTGGGGTGGATTTCAACATTTTTAATACCTTAATTATTATGACTATTGAGGTTTATTCATTTCACTGTATGTCTTCCCTATCCTGTGGGCAAGCACTGGGTCTTATTAATCATCTCACAAACAGCTGGAATTGACATCTGCCTGTCTCCAAAATATATGGCTCCCCCAGAGAAGCAGACATATGGATATACATGCAATTATTTTGAAAGCGTATAACGGCTTGGTGCCTGTGGCTCGAGTGGCTAAGGCGCCAGCCATGTACACCCAAGGTGGCGGGTTCGAATCCAGCCAGGGCCCGCCAAACAACAATGATGGCTGCAACCAAAAAATAGCCGGGCGTTGTGGCAGGCGCCTGTGGTCCCAGCTACTTGGGAGGCGGAGGCAGGAGACTCGCTTGAGCCCAGGAGTTGGAGGTTGCTGTGAGCTGATGCCATGGCACTCTACCCAAGGGGACACCTTGAGGCTCTGTCTCAAAAAAAAAAAAAAAAAAAAGGTATAAAGAGACTCTATAGAGACAGTATAGGTAAGAAATTTAACATATATTCTTCCAAAATTCTAGGTCTATATTTTAAGGAAGTGTGAAAGATGATCATCTGAATTGGGTCATTTTTATCCTATCCAACTAAATCAGAGCCGAGGTACCAGGGGGAAAAAGCACTCAGCATACATAACATTGCACTAAAAATGTAATTCTCTGCAAGTCCAGTTGCTAAAACTGTCTATTATAACCTGAAATCAGTTTTATGTACAGTTGCTGAGATAACTTGCTGTACCTCCAGGACTAATTTTGCCCACCTCAGCCACCTAAATAATGTATGTATTTAAGACAGAGTCTCACTCTGTCACTTTGGAGTGCTGTGGCATCATTACAGCTCACTGCAACCTCAAACCCTCTGGCTTGAGCAATCCTTTTGCCTCAGCCTCCCAAGTAGCTGGGACTACAGGTGTAAGCCACAATACCTGGCTAGTTTTTCTGTTTTTAGTAGAGACTGGGTCTCACTCTTGCTCAGACTGGTCTCCATCTCCTGGGCTCAGCAATCCACCTGT